TCATGAAGACATTATCAAGTTCACAACTTAATAGTGTAAACCGTAGTTAGGAGCTATTGAGTTATGGGAAAAGTCATGACACATTTCTATGTTTTCTATGCAAAAAACGTGTCATGACTTTTCTGGCAACCCAACAAAAAGGAGAAACAAGGAGAGGCATGTAAAAGAGGCACGTGATCTGTTGGGCTTGGTACTTTGAGAAAGTCTGTTGGAAATAGGTGTCAGAAATACACTCCATTGCTACTGGGACGGGCAATGTCAGGAAAATAAGCTTATCATTACCGAATAAGAATAGCTAAAAATCACGGAACCCTCACTCTGTGTTGGTACCTGTCCGAAGCATTTTACAGAGATCTCTCATCAGTCCTCACAACAAATTTGGGAGAAAGGTACCATTAGTTTCCCAATTTATAAATGCAAAGCAAACAAATAAATACATCTTTATTTATTTATTTATTTATTTATTTATTTATTTATTTATTTATTTATTTATTTATTTATTTATTTATTTATTAATTTTTGGAGAGCTTTTTGCTATAGGGCACATGTACTCACTGGAAAGACAGAGAGAGACAGAGAGACAGAAAGTGAGATCTTAAGGGCAAAAAGGTTAAAAATGCTTAATTGTATAAATTAAAAGAATAAAAAAAATTTCTGAAAATTATTTAAGTAATTTCCATTCATTTTAAAATTTAATATTAAACTAAATATTTAAATATTCTTTGTATGTAGTGTTTAGGTATGTGAAATATGAATAAGTTAAAACAGTATCTTAAGCTTCAGGGGCTAGCAGGTAGGGTAGTAGGTAAGGGTGCTGGACTCTCACATGGCCGACTATGGTTTGAGTCCCAGACCTGGCAGCTTGCTTTCTTACTTTCTCTCTCTGTTCCTCTCTGATCAAATTAAAATAAATAAATACATAAATAAAGCTAAATAAAATAAGTCTTTTAAAAAAGCAATATCTTAATCCTGACATATAGCAATTCAGTCAGATAGTACTTTTGACATTCCAGATCTAGCTTGCTTTTTTCAGTTCCTATTTCTTTAAAAGAAAAGAGAGAAATGAAGAGTCATGCTAGCAAGTGACTAAGAAAGTGCTGACATATGCTTTTAAAAAGCATGTAAGCATATTCTACTTCTTATGCAAAGCACTATTTTAGACAACTTTGTAAGTTTGCACTTTACCTTTTATTTTTTTACCATCGAATAGACACATAGCTATATTGGGTCATCAGAAAAAGTCATGAGGATGCATTTTTGCATAGAAAAAGATAGAAAAAACTACGTCACGATTTTTCCGACAATCCAAAATACACATGGATAAATGAAAAACCATGGGAAAGACATTTGGTTAAGACTTAAATGATAAAAAAAAAAAACAGGGTATGAGAGAAAAGAGATGGTGACTCATGGCCATAAAGTTACAATCACCTCACCAAAAACAAAGGGGTACGTACCAAAAGGATGAAGAACATAAAGAACACAAAGGTGGTAAAATAAATTGGTCCCAAGATTCGATTAGCTTCCTCAATCTCTGCAAAGTTGATATCGCCCAAAATGATACGGAATTGAGTGAAGCTATAAAAACAAAACAAAAACAAAATACATAATACAAAACCACAGAATGTCCAGCTGTTGATGAAACATTTCTTAAAGTTGATTTCACACTTTGGGCTCTTACAGAGGTATAGATTGCTACCACAAACAGAAACAGTCATCTCGGGACCAGCAGTTGGTGTAATGGCTGTGTTGCTGGACTCCCATGTAGTCGACTGTGGTTCGAGTCCTGGACCCAGTGGCTTAAACTCACACAGGACACGTGTGCATGCATGCCCAAGATCCAGAGAGGAGAATGGAGGAGAAGGGATTGTGGTGTGGCCAACCCCCCTGGGGGGTGATTTCTTGCTTTCTGTCTCTCTGTCTCTATCTTTCTGGCAAGCGCACATGCCCTATAGCAAAAATCTCTCCAAAAAAAAAAAAGAAAAAGAAACAGTCATCTCCTTTGAAAACTCTTGCTACTTACATTGGTAATGGAAATTTTCTGGAATTATAGCAATATGCTTTCATACTGCAGCTCATTTTGGTAAAAAGAAACTGGTAGATCAATTGCAAATGACATACATAATTCAGAACTCAGTACTTAATCTGGGTAAAAATGTAACTCCACAATGGTCACCTGGGGTCTGAAGTTAAAATATTTTTTTTCAAAAAGATTTAAGGACCTGGCAGGTGGTTAAGTTGCTGGAATTCCACATGGCCCACTATAGTTCAAGTCCCGAACCTGGTAGCTTGCTTTCTCACATTTCCTTTCTCTCTCTCTCTGGTCAAATTTTAAAAACATAATAATAAGGGAACCAGCAGTTAACGTAATGGCTATGTCGCTGGACTCCCACGTAGTCGACTGCGGTTCGTGTCCTGGACCCGGTGGCTTAAAACTCACGCCAGGCGCGTGTGCGTGCGTGCCCAAGATCCCGAGAGGAGAATGGAGGAGAAGGGATTGCGGCATGACCATCCCCCCTGGGGGGTGATTTCGCTTTCTGTCTCTATGTCTCTGTCTGTCTGGCGAGCGCACGCGCCCTACAGTGAAAATCTCTCCAAAAAAAAAAAAAAAAACCATAATAATAATAACAACAACCAATACAAGTAAATAAATAATTTTAAAAAAGATTTTGAAGGATAGTCAAAAATGAATGTGTCCAAAGGCCTAATATTCTTACATACACTGAAGGTGGGGTAAAAGTACCAGCTGTGGTCAGAGCTGGTTCTTGCTTGTTAAAATCATTTCCCTTCCCTCTGAGTAATTAGAGAATCCCATGCACGAAGCTCCGTTGACTCCCTTCTTGAGGATCATCTCCTTTTCTAACTCCTTACTAAGTGGCATGGAAATCTGATACTGGCTACTTTTTTTGGTTGTTATTGTCACTAGTATTATATTTAGGAACTTTGGAAAATCTAAATGCCTGAGGCTGAGTTTCTCCTAGAATATTAGAAATACCTTTATTTTTTTCTTCTGAGAAAATAACTTAAAAGTCCAAAGTAAATGGCAACAATATTCAATAAGAATAAAAATACAGGTAAAGGGTCTTGTAAAAGCTACCTCTTGCAGGGAGTGGTGATGTGCCCTGTAATCCCAGCTATTTGGGAGACTGAGGCAGGAGGATTACGAGTTTGAGGCTAGGGTGGACAATATAGCAAGACCTTGCCTTTAAAAAAATAACAGCACACAAAAAAGCTACTACCTGCATGTGGTGCTATAAAAACAAAACAAAAGAAAACACCTTGGATTTTGGAATAGTGCTATTTACTATGGCTGCTCTAATAACGTAAGGGCTCTTAACTTATGTATTAGTATTTCAGAAGTTCTTGCCATTGGTGGGTCAATGCCCTTGGGAAAGGTAATTAATTCTTATTTTATGTTTTTTTGGTAGTTTTTTTTTTTTTTTCTTTTTAAGAGAGATTTTTGTTATAGGGCACGTGCACTTGCTAGACAGAAAGAGAAAGAGAGACGGAAAGCAAGAAATCATCTCCCAAAGAGGGTGGCCATGCTTCAGTCCTTTCTCCTCAATTCTCCTCTTGGGATTTTGGGCACACACGCATATGTACCTGGCATAGGTTTTAAGCTGCTGGACCCAGGAGTCGAACCATGGCTGGCCATTTGGGAGTCCAGCGATGTAACCATTATGCCATCTGCTGGCCTTGATTCCTGTTTTAAATGAACAGTTTTACCCATGAAGAGTTCTTTGTCCTTGAGATGGTGGTGGCATGCCTAGTTCCATTCTCCTCCTTAATTTCGTATATACTTACATACACTCTTGGAAAGTACTGAAGTCATCCACCTGGGTGCCGAAGACAAGGTATGCCAACTGAGCATATGCCAAGAAAATAATGAAGAACATGATGGCAAAGCCAAAGAGGTCTTTGGCGCAGCGAGATAAGGTCGTGGAGAGCTGGCTCATGGTGCGGTTGAAATTGATGAATTTGAAGAGCTGTAAAGGAAAAGTAAGACATCAGCAGACAAACAGATCAACAAAACGTGGTCTGTACATGCAACAGGATGTCGTTCAGTCCCAAATAGGAGTGGGATTCTGAGACATGCTACTGCCGGGATGGAGCCTGAAAAGGTGTTCAGTGGAGTAAGCCCGACTCCAAAGGACAAAGACTGTCTGACTGCATGTCTGTGAGACCAGTCAAATTCACAGAGACAGAAAGAGGAATAGAGGTTACTGGGCACTGGGGCAAGGCCCGAATGGGGCATGTTTCATGGATACGGAGTGAAGAAAGTTCTGGAAATGTATAGTGGTGATGGCTGCACAGCACTGCAAAGTAGTTATGTGACTGAATTATTCACTTAAAATTGATTAGAAGTTTGGGATCAGCAGGTGGCATAGTGGTTATACTGCTGGACACCCACATGGCTCACTGCAGTTTGAATCCCAGACCCGGTAGCTTGAAAATCACACCGGACACGTGTATGTGCCCAAGATCCTGGGAGGACACCAGAGAAGGGATTGAGATGTGGCCATCCTCCCTGGGTGATGGTTTATCACTTTCCCTCTCACTGTCTCTGTCTCTGCCTCTCTCTCTCTGGTGAGCACATGTGCTATAAGGCAAAAACCTCTCCAGAAATAGAGAAATGGTTAAGTTTTTTTTTTTTTTTTTAATATAGATTTTTGGGGTTGGCAGGTGGCATGGTAGTCGGGGGTGCCGACTCCGGTTTGAATCCTGGACCTGGTGGCTTGCTTTCTCACTTTCCCTCTCTCTTTCTCTCTCACTCTGTCCCTTTCTGGTCAAATTAAAAATGAATAAATAAGTAAAGTTAAATAAAGTAATTCTTTAAAAAACATAGATTTCTGCCATAGAGTATATGAGATTGTCAGAGATAGACAGGGAAAGTGAGAAATCACCCCCAAGGGGAGATGGCCATGGAGCAATCCCTTCTCCTCCATGCTTCTCTTGAGGTTTTGGGCATGCATGCTCATGTGCCTGGTATGATTTTCAAGTCACTGGGTCTGGGACTCAAACCAAGTCAGTCATTTGGGATTCAGCACCTTAACCACTACGTCACCTGCTGGCCCAGAAATAATAAGTTTTGTGTTATGTATATTTATCACAATAAAAAGAGAGAGAGAGGGGGAGAGAGAGAGAAAGAGAGAGAGAGAGAGAGAGAAAAGAAAAATGACTTGCTCTTTTTTCTTCCCAAACCCAGCAACTTCTATTCTCTCATTCAAGAAGTATTTGGAGAGGGCCTCCCATGCACATGACCCTCGTGGAGCTGGGGATGCTGCAGTGAACAGAGCAGAGCTTCCGCCCTCATGGTCACCTTTACACAATGACTGCAACATAAGGAAACTAGGCTTAATTATAATCAAAATGACTAGTGATGTCTCCCCACCCCAGGATTAAAATAAAAGACAGAAAAGGGCCAGCTCATGGCATGGTGTTTAAGGCTGCTAGATCCCAGATGGCCCACTGTATGGTTCAAACCTTGGACCTGGTGGCTTGAGAAATAGGTTGGGGACGTGAATGTGCATGCTGTAAATCCCAAAAGCAGGGAGACAGAAGAGAAGGGATTGTGGCATGATCTTGCCTTAAGGGGTATTCTTTCTCACTTTCCCTCTCTTTCTCTTTCTCACTCTCTCTGCAAATACTCATACCTTCTGGCATATTAAAAAATAAAAAGAAAAAAACACAATGAAATCTAATTTTTAAAAAAATGGGGAACACTGCTTCACATTATTATTAATTATCCTTTATCATGCATTTACTATGTGGGAGGGCTTCATGTACAGTGCCTGAAATCTCCACAGTGATTAAAACACGGTTTTCTAACCCAGGAGTCAACTGGGGCTCGGCATCAGGAATGGAACCCAGCTCTGTCCGCCTGCAAAGGCAACACGGGCATTTTTATTTTTATATGACCAGAGAGGGACAGCGAGACAGGGAGAATGAAAGAGAAAAAGAGAGAGAGAGAAAATGAGAAAGTAAGCTACCACGTCTGGGACTCAAACCATGGTCAACCATGTGGGAGTCCAGTGCCCTTCACCACCACACCACCTGCTGGCCCCAACATGGGCGTTTTTATAGACCAAACACTGAGGATGGCTGCCCAAACTGCGCAGTTCACGGCCCACAGGGCACAGCAAGCGACGCAAGCCTTGGTGAAGAACACACGGGGGAATTTGCGGAGGGAAGGCAGCATCCTGCTTTAAAAGATTCAGTGGGAAAGTTCTTGGGAAAGTTGTTTCCAACCGAAGCACTAAATAAAACACAGCGCCCTGAGCACATGTGGGAAAGGACTCTAGAATTATAAGTTGTTTCCGGCCACAGACATTCACATTTTTTTTTTAAGTTTAGTCTGATTATTTTTTCCCTTTTATTTATTTTAAAAATTAATTCATTTACTTATAGCCATTCAGTGTACATGAAGACAGCATACAGAATGAGATTTTCCATCCAGTAAACATTGTATATTAACCAAGTCAAGGACATAATCATACCTGTTACCATCAACAAATAATTTTCTATTTCTTGTTTCTTATATATTTCACCTTTTTTCTCCCTTGATTCCCTACCTCTTGCCCTCTGCCAATTCCCCCCCTCCGCCCCCTCTGCTTTGTCCACACTGTCTCTGGTATGGGCAGTTGTTTTCCAAACACAGGAATTTTTTTTTTTGGAGAGGTTTTTGCTATAGGGCGCGTGTGCTCGCCGGACAGACAGAGAGAGACAGAGAGACAGAAAGCGAGAAATCACCCCCCAGGGGGGATGGTCACGCCGCAATCCCTTCTCCTCCATTCTCCTCTCGGGATCTTGGGCACGCACGCACACGCGCCCGGCGTGAGTTTAAGCCACCGGGTCCGGGACGCGAACCGCGGTCGACTATGTGGGAGTCCAGTGACATAGCCATTACACTAACTGCTGGTTCTCAAGCCACAGAACTTTTTTTGAGGGTTGTTATAATCACATTTCCTAATACATGTTCTATTCATTTGCGATTTTGACTATCGTGACTATTTTATGATAAAGGCTTGGTGCTTCAGTGCTGTTTTCTCTTGAATAAGTACTCAACCGAGTAACAAGCCTGAGAGACAGAGGAGGCGGTCGAAGCTCTCTGATAACCCCCAGGCCTTCCAGGTGTGAACCAGTTCTCGGAAAAACCTCACTGTTGGTGGCGGCCTTCTAGCACGGTACTGTTCAAGAGACGTTTTTGTGATGATGGGAATGTCCCATGTCTCCACTGTCAAATAGGAGGCGAGGAGGCTTCAAAAAGTTCATGGAAAATGAGCATTATGAAAAAATCCTGACTGCACCTCAATTTTTTTTTTTTTTGGTACTACAATAAATTTATCCTTTAAGCCTATATTTCCACGAATGCTTTGAAGTACTCCGTGCAGGAGCCACTAGCTACACTTACATTGAGCACTTAAAATGTGGCCGGGGAACTGATTTTTTAATTGTATTTAATCTTAAGTAATTCCAATTTAATTTAAATAGCCAGGTGTGGCTAGTAGCTACTGCCTGGACACAGGGTCGTGGAGCCGGAGCTGGTGACAGGCTGGCAGCTTTCTTGAGATCACTGATGTTGCCTGCATCTCCAGAATGGGGGCTCATTGTATATGAAGTGTCTTCACTTTCCACACATATAGAAATGCACATTACGCTTGCAGAAAATGAGGAAGTAAGTGAGGAAGGAATTACTCGGAAGAGGGGCTTATTCCAACCCCAATTTTTGCTAAAGCTTCCTTACTACCTCCACCAGAAAGAGGCAATTCCCTCCCCCCAGCACTTCCAAGAGCAGCCAGCATCTCTCGCCGTCCCATCCTTCTCCTTTCTCTCAGTTCCTTCTCCTTCACCTGGTCACCCCAAATCAGGAGACTCACACCTGGCCCTATGTCAGACAAGGCGGGACCTCGGGTTCCAGTGGACTTCCTGAAAGGCCTCCTGGTGTATTTGTTCAAGGAAACCTACAGGGACAGGCCTGGAAGAATGCAAGTAGCGTAAGTAGCACCACTCAGAGTGAGCCAACGCCCGGGGGAGTTCCACTAACTTGCTTTATGTTACATGTAATGGAAGCGTGGAATGGCTTTGGCTGGCCACTTGAACTCAGCCACAAAAACAAATTCAAGTCCCCCAAATTCAAGTTTTGGATGGTTCATGTTAATAATAATAAAAAAAGGTGTTAAAAATCTAGGACCTGAAATTTATAAGTTACCTTAATCCAGACTAAAAATACCGTGACAGCAGCAATATTGTTGAACTGTATTTGCCAGTACGCCAGATGCTCGAAGTTGGGAAAGGTATTTTGATGCTCCAGAAACTGCATTAGCACCTCCACATTTGAAGTTCGGTATATGTTGATTCCTATAGCTACCACTGATAGCTGGAAAGCAAAAGGTTTATATTTTAATACTGTGTTTCACAAATACATAACCTGGGACTAGCAGAAGGCATAATGGTTACATTGCTAAACTCTCACATGGCTGACTGTGGTTCAAGTTCAAGACCTGGTGGCTTGAAATTCATGCTGGGAGCATATGCATATGTGCCCAAGATCCTAAGAGGAGAGTGGAGGAGAAGGGATTGTGGTGTGGTCATCTCCCCGGGGAAGTAATTTCTTGCTTTCTATTCTTTCTGTCTCTCTAGCGAGCACATGTACCCTATAACAAAAATCTCTTAAAAAAAAAAAGAAAAAGAAATACATAATTTACCTTAAAATGACTATCTTCATCAATTTTTTAAAAAAGCTTATTTATTTATTATTAATTATTTTAAATTTTGCTATAGTGTACCTGTGCTCACCAGAGAAAAACAGAGAGGGTAAATAAGAAAGCAAGTCTCCAGGTTTGGGACTCAAACTGTAGTTGACCATGTGGAAGTCCAGTGCCTCAACCACCATGCCACTGCTGACCTCCTTCATTCCTGTTTTAATTCTAGGGCTCATTATTAAACTTACCCAGTGGGATTCATCAAAGTCACCTGAATGAAAGCGTTGAGCATGACCATAAAACAAGTAAAACGACATACTGCTGACGTTTTCTTAGCTAGGATCAGAAACCCAGTGAGCGCATCTGCACCCTGTGAAACCAGCTATTAGCACGATTATTTGAGTTTCAGTTTCTTAATAGTCATTCTTCAGCAGTTCTACTGGTTTTAAAAGACTATTGATGGGACCAGTGGGTGGTGTGGTGGTTAAGGTGCTGGACACTCCCACCTGTCCAACCACAGTTTAAGTCCTGGACCTGCTGGCTTGACTTCCCACTTTCCTTCTCTCTCTCTCTCTCTCTCAATCTCTCTCTGGTCAAATTAAAATAAATGAATGCATAAATAAAAATTACATAAATAATTCTTTAAAAAATAGTAATTAAAAAAAGACGATTGCTTACAACAAATGGCAGAGCGATGTGAGTGACGTAAGCCTGCCAACGTCAGAGTATTTGTCAGAGAGGCCGGAAGAGAAAATAGAAGTCATTTCATAGTGACTTCAAGATGCCGTTACATTAGAATATAATTTTTTTCCCCCAAGTTCTGGGTGGACTTCAGCAAATTTGGGACAGTAAAACAAAAAGCTTTTTCATAGAAAGGAGCCTGGGGCACGCTTTGGGAGTGAGCAGAAAGCACGCCCGTACTGAAAGAATGTTTCAAAGGAGAAGTGGGATTCCAGCAGCCCTTCCTTGTTCTTTCCAACAGTACACTGTCTGAACTGTTGTCTTGGCAGGACCAAGAGTTAAAAACATAAAAAGAACAGTGAAGCAAGTTTTCAAAGAAAAACTTGCAAAATGCTGTAGGCTCAGCTCCATTTCCATGATCTTATCAGCTGTTTTTCCAGTGATTCCCAAAGAGGGTCCAAGGAAATCCACTGGCAGGTGGGAAAGGAATCTAAAAACTTGTAGGTGGGTGGTAAGAAGGTATCCGAATTCTATGGGTGGGGTCAGCAGGTGATGTGGTGGTTAAGGCGCTGGACTTCCACATGGCTGACCATGGTTTGGGTCCCAGGACCTGGGGGCTTGCTTTCTCACTTTCCCTCTCTCTCTATCTCTCTGGTGGGTGCGTGTGCCCTGAAGCAAATTAAAAATAATAATAATAAAAAGAAAATTAATATTTTTTAACAAAAAATTATATTTGTACTTATTTTCATTCTAATATTTAAAATTCTATGTATGTGTATGTTTTTCCAGATCAATCTGTTATACCAACACACACGTATAATTTATAAATAAGTACATTAGGGTGGATGGTCACTGATTTTCACTGATAGGCATGAATTACCAAAAAAGTTGACTGCCATTGACTAGTCTTTTATTGATATTAAAGTTATTTGATTAAAACAAAACAAAACAAAATCTGTTATGAATTAACATAATACCACACATGTCAGGAACAGTATTCTCAATGACCTCACTGTAAACAGATCCATATAAATCGGGACCAGCAGCTAGTGTAATGGCTATGTCGCTGGACTCCCACGTAGTCGACCGCGGTTCGAGTCTCGGACCCGGTGGCTTAAAACTCACACCGGGCACGTGTGCGTGCGTGCCTAAGATCCTGAGAGGAGAATGGAGGAGAAGGGATTGCGGCGTGGCCATACCCCCCGGGGGGGGATTTCCTGCTTTCTGTCTCTCTGTCTCTCTCTGTCTGTCTGGCAAGTGCACGTGCTCTATAGCAAAAAACCTCTCAAATCCATATAAATCCATATAAACCATGCTTAAGAGTTCCAAATGATAATTATGTGCTAGGAGAACTTCTAACATATATGGACTGCAGTCTGCCATCACTCAGTACAGAAATATTTTGAAAAATTATTTCTACTCCATCCGCCATCTTGGTGACTGTGGAGGCCTGCTGAGAACAGGACTTCTAAAAGGCAACTATGTCTGGAAGGCTATGGTCCAAGCTCATTTTTGCTGGCTATAAGCAGGGTCTCAGGAACCAAAGCCCACAGCTTTTCTCTCTTTTTTTTTTTTTCTTGGGGAGGTTTTTGCTATAGGGTGCGTGGGCTCACCAGAAAGACAGCGAGAGACAGAGACAGAAAATGAGAAATCACCCCTCAGGGGGATGGCTATGCCACAGTCTCTTCTCCTTCATTCTCCTCTCGAGATCTTGGGCATGCACGCACACGTGCCTGGTGTGAGTTTAAGCCACCAGGTCCAGGACTTGAACCGTGGTTGACTACATGGGAGTCCAGCGACATAGCCATTATGCCAACTGCTGGTCCTGAACACAGTTCTTTTTAAAATTGAAGGTGTTTATGCCCGAGATGAAATGGAATTCTATTTAGGCAAGAGGTGTGCTTATGTGTGCAAAGCAAAAAAACAACACAGTGACTCCTGGTGGCAACTCGAATAAAACCAGAGGAATGTGAGGAAAGCTTACTCACATGCCCATGGAAACAGGCATGGCTTGAGCCAAATTCCAAAGCACCTTCCTGTTAAGGCCACTGGACACAGAGTCCCTATGATGCTGTACCCCTCAAGGATTTAAAATAATAAAAAGTAAATGAATGAAAATGGAAAAAAAAAACCTATTTCTAATATTATCGTCTCCTGCTTCCTTCCCTACTGAAACCCTTTTGTAACTCATTATTAATACACTGGGAATTGGGGACCAAGGGTTCACCTTGATTCGTGTAAATGTGCGATATTACCTGGCCATCATAAAAGTAGGATGTGCTTCATTTTGGGGGGTAGGATATACTTCTAACTGCATTAGGGCCCAGGGGGTTCCACACTATGTTTCTTTTATAGGAATTTTTATTTTCAGTAAAAGTTCTTTCTGAAACACATGTACCTTGGCTTGAGAGACAGAGTGGTTAGAAGGGTTAGTGTAAGAATTAAATAAACTTCTGTGTATGAAAAGCACTTGGAACTGGGCCCAACACACAGTAGCTTCTAAAGTATTGGCCATTAATATTATTATTACTACTATCATTATTATTTCTGCTAGTGTTGTTATTGCCATGTTATAGGCCCATGTAGTTCTTTTTCATGCCTGAAGTGTTATTCACTCACCTACGAATACTATATTTTCCATATTTTATCAGTGAATTAAAGTGGGAAACGGTATAATAATAACTTGATGTAAATGGTTCATAAAGGCCACATATGTTTTTAAAAGTAAAAAGGAATAAGTCTCATGAGGAAAGCTCATGGAAGAGAGAATGCTAACTGGGTAGTGCCTAACTTAAAAAGAATTCAGAGGGTCTTTCTTAGCACAGGACAGAAGGAAGGATGGACATCAAGTAATACATAACGTAGCTATGCCAATCAAAACTTTTAAGCATCTAGCAATTAAGCATTTTGTTAAATGTTTAAACACATAGTAGCACTTGGTGCTATGTTATCTGTTAATACCAAGGGAGTTAAGCTTGCAAAAAATTCATTTTTATACTGAAATTGTGTATTAAAAATTAATTAATTAAAAACAAAGAAAGAAAATTTTCAATTTGAGCAGATAGAGACAGAGAGTGAGAAAGCAAGCCGCCAGGTCTGTGACTTGAACTGTGATTGGCCATGTGGGAGTCCAATGCCTTAACCACCATGCCACCTGCCAGCCCCCTATACTGAAATCTTAAACAAGTATTAGCAATTATTGAGTCATCGGAAAAGTTATGATGCATTTATGCATAGAAAAGCATAGAAAAATACATCATGACTTTCCCAGCAACCTAGTAACAGAATCGGGGCAGGAATGGCATCTACGACCGTAACATAATCTTGACCAGAACACTGCCTTAGGATTTCTCGCATTTTGTACAGGAAACTCAGATGAATGCACATTTTACACGTGGTGGGCTAGAAGTTTTAAACTGCATGAAGTTTTCCCTACTGTTCAAAATATTTTTAGGCTGTTTCTTCTTGCATAACTTTACACATATGTGAAAAACACAAATGAAGTAGTTGAAGAAAAAATATCATCAGCAAAAAACACATAAAACGTTATCTTCTCCCTCACATTTCATATAACATGCCATGCCAAATATGAACTACTAAGTTACTCTCATTATTAGTGTGGTTGAGTACTAACTGTAAATGCCTCTCATTTCTTTTATTTGGTTTAGTTTTAGGTTTTTGCCACAGGGCACATACATTCACTGGAGAAAGACAGAAAGAGGGAAAGTGAGAAATCACTTCCCAGAAGATGGCCATGCTGCAGTCCCTTCTCTTCCATTCTCCTCTCCGGATTTTGGGCACGCACACACATGCCTGTCATGATTCTCAATTACTGGGTCCAGCACTTAAACCACAGTTGGCTATGTGGGCGTCCAGTGCCTTAACCCCCACGGCACCTGCTGGCCCTGTGCCTCTCCTTATTCAGGAAGGTTACTCACGCAAAATGAGAAAATAATTTGTAACCCCAAAGTTAACAAATTGAGGGGGAACTTTCAGATTTTCTTTTGGGACTATCAAGATCTACAGTGCTGGGACCAGCCGATGGCATAATGGTTATGTCACTAGACTCCCATGTAATTGACCACAGTTCGAGTTTCAGACCCAGCAGCTTGAAAATTCACGCTGGGCCTGTGTGCACCCAAAATCCTGAGAGGAGAATGAAGGAGAAGGGATTGCAGCGTGGCTATCCCTCCTGAGAGGCGATTTCTCGCTTTCCATCTCTTTGGTGAGTGCATGTGCCCTATAACAAAAAAATTCTCTTAAAAACAAAACAAAACAAGACACAGCACAGTGCTGAGGAGATCAATAGGCTTTTAGAACAGAGTAGGGAATTTGGGTGGTGTTCTCAAACCTACCACGATGATGACAACATCCAGACAATTCCAGAAACTCCTGAAATAGTGTAATCTGTGAATGCGAATTTCCAATATCTCTTCCACCACGTAGTAAAGGATAAAGAAACAAAAGATTATCTCACAGGCGGCCAGGAAGAAATCAAAAGTTGTGACATAGTGGATCAGCTTCACAGGCTGGAATTGCCAAGATGGAATCACACCGCCTGTTGCTGGGAACTCAACCAGTAACCTGTATTGCAATAAGAACAGGTGAAATTAACAGCAGTGGTGACAAAACACACGCATGTAGCCAGGAAAGGATGCCCCTCTAGTCTGCTCCTGCACTATAAGGTAATGGAACTGCTCCCACCAGTCCCCCCAGACTGGGGGCAGAACACTTTTATCACAGCTAGTAATTCTCGACTTGTAGAAGTTTGTGCCACCAAAGAAGCAAGACTTCCTAATCTCTCTTAGACCTCAAAGTGACTATTTCTTCCTTAGTCTTTCTTTTACTCTTCTGGTATTCATACTGCTCAAAACACAGTACTTTTTTTTTTTTTTTTTAATAGTTTTTTGCTATAGGGCATGTGTGCTTGCTGGGGAGAAATAGAGAAGGAGAGAGAGAAAGTTGGAAATCACTCCCCAGGGAGAAGGCTACATGCAATCCCTTTTCCTCCACTCTCCTCTTGGGATCTTTTGGCATGCACGCACACACACTTCGCATGTCTTCCAAGCTGCCGGGTCTGGGACTTGAACTGCATACTTAACCATGTGGGATCCAGCATCTTAACCTGACTACCTTGCTGGCCCACTGTACCATTTTTTAAATGTAAAATTTAATAAACAAACAGCCTTTCTAGGACTTCTTCTAAATGCCAGTCATTCTAACAGGCAAAGTGAAGGCTATTACAGAATTAGAAGCTGCGTGCTCACAGTGTGTGACCTAACTGAGCAGTAGGATATACGCCAAAGACATACACAAATACAGGGACTGAGTCTCTCATTCATTCATTAGGTGACATCTAATTAGTATGAGACTGCCCTCCAGGGAACCTTCTGCACCCCTTCACTGAGCCTTATCGTTAATCAGTAGGTACGGTGCTCGATAAACGTCTGCTTGTCTGAGACATTACCATGCGTTGTTCTGCACTCATACTGAGGGCCCTCATCTTCAGTGCTTTCATATAATCAAATGTAGGATTTTTTTTTTTTTTAAGAAAACAATTCCCATTCTGTAGGTATTACCCTGAGAAAGTAAAGTGATGCACTTACTGGTACAGTGACCCCTATCTAATTAGAAAATTCTATTTTCTAGTAGAAAATAGAATAGTTTAACTTCTTTAAAAACAAAATTAGGTATCAGGACCAGCGGTTAGCGTAATGGCTATGTCGCTGAACTCCCATGTAGTCGACTGCGGTTTGAGTCCAGACCCAGTGGCTTAAACTCATGCTGGGCGTGTGTGTGTGTGTGTGCCCAAGATCCCAAGAGGAGAATGGAGGAGAAGAGATTGCAGTATGGCCATCCCCACTGGGGATGATTTCTTACTTTCTATCTCTCTGTCTCTCTCTGTCTTTCTGGCAAGCACATGTGCCCTATAGCAAAAACCTCTCCAAAAAGAAAAAAGGTAGGTATTTACTTTTACTAATTTTCTTTTCTTCTTCTTCTTCTTCTTTTTTTTTTTTTTTTTTTTAGGTTTTTGATATAAGGCACATGTGCTCACCAGAGAGGGGCAGAAAGTAAGCTACTGGGTCTGGGACTCGAACTACAGTGAGCCATGTGGGAGTCCAATACCTTAATCACCATGCCACCTGTTGGCCTCGATTTTCTAGCTTTTAAATGTGAAGACTTTCAAAAAGCTCTTTAGCCAGCTAAAAGGCCTCTCCCGTTACAGATAGGGCTGCGGTGACAGACTGGGCATGCAGGACCCAGGCATTGAGCAATAATCAAGTGAAGGCAGGGACTGTGGCAAAGTAGAACTGGTCAAAGCAGCCTGGCAATTCTTCCACTTCACTGTCAGTTCCTCCTTTTCCTATTCAACATGCTGGAGGTTAGGGGTGAGAACAAAAGCTCAGGGGAGCAATACTGAAGCAAAAAGCCTCGTGACAGCCTCGGTGGGAACCCAGAGGGGAAGGAAGTGGCCTGTGTGTGTCAAGTCATCTCTCTCTGGCCCATTCTGGCCCTGCATTTGTTAACACTCCCAGACACCTAGAAAATAGTGGAAAGTCATCGTCTCGACCATCTTTAACCTTAAAGTATTAGGAGGAAGCAAAAGACATGCTCAAGATCTTCTGTAAATAGATAGATAGTTAAAGGTCAGAGTTGCCTGCCTGTTCCTGTCCTCACCGAATCATGAAGAAAGGCTCAATAATAATTGCAATACATAGTCACCCATTTCTAAGAATGACTGCTTATGGATTTCATGTGCTATTTTCTATAAAAGTTGTTAACTACAAGGACTGGGACAATCCAACTAGCCATATAAAGCAGGGTTGAGTTTAATCCTCAAAAATCATGATGAGGCGGGAACCAGCAGTTAGCGTAATGGCTATGTTGCTGGATTCCCACGTAGTTGACCGTGGTTCGTGTCCTGGACCTGGTGGCTTAAAACTCACGCCGGGCGCGTGTGCGTGCGTGCCCAAGATCCCGAGAGGAGAATGGAGGAGAAGGGATTGCGGCGTGACCATCCCCCCGGGGGGTGATTTCTCGCTTTCTGTCTCTATGTCTCTCTCTGTCTGGCGAGTGCACGCGCCCTACAGTGAAAATCTCTCCAAAAAAAAAAAAAAATCATGATGAGGTCAGGCTCTTATGAACAAAACATCCCTCTTAATCTTGCATGTAAATATGTGCAGGTCATTAAGTGGTGGTCTGCGTGTTCCCGACAAGTCCACCAGAAAGGTGAAAGGGGATAACTCCTGGATCCTCCCTGCACTGATCTTTTTTCTTGTTGCACTTATAACACACTTACAAGACATTTCTTTTATCACTGATTGCCGCTTTCTCTTTTCCTGGTGGAAAGCAAGCTCTGTAAGGGAAGGGATCTCTGCTTTGTTCAGGGAGGTCTCCCAAGATCCCAGAACAGCGTCTGACACATATGCAGCGTCCGGTAAATGTTTGCTGAATGAATGAATAAACGAGGCCTCAGACAAGCCAATGGAATCCTTGCCAGTTTCCTTTCTATCTCCCAAAGTGGCCATGGTGGCAACATGGCAGGATCTATGGAAGGAACTTGATAAGCCTTTGGTGGATTTTGAGCAGAGCAGGAAACTGGGTTTCCTCCTGGACCTCAGGTATAGCCATAACTACTGGCTCATGGTATTGTTTTTCCTTTCTTTTTTTAAAAAAAATATTGAGAGACACACATACAGAGATGGACTCAATGCCACAATCCTCCAGCCTCCATTGTTTTTTGCCATCGGGAAGGTGCCACCATGCCCCTGACTCATATTTTTAACAGCATACACCATCTGGGAGCAGGACCCTTAGGAACATGGATCAAGACTAATGGCAGGGGCATGGGACCAGCAGTTGGCATAATGGCTATATCGCTGGACTCCATGTAGTTAACTGTGGTTTGAGTCCCAGATCCAGTGGCTTAAACTCATGTCAGGTGTATGTGCTTGCATGCCCAATATGCCGAGAGGAGAATGGAGAAGAAAGGATTGCGGTGTAGCCATCCCCCCCCCAGGGGTGATTTCTCTCTTTCTGTCTCTCTGCCTCTGTCTTTCTGGTAAGTGCACACACCCTATAGCAAAAACCAAAAATCTCTCCAAAAAAAAAAAAAGACTGATGGCAGGGGCTTGGTGACAAAGCATAGAGTACGGATCACCCTCATAATGGTGAAGATGCTAGAAAACATAATGCTTTTTCTGGAGAGGCCCAGCAATTGGGTGAATGTGGACCCGACCTAAAGTTCTTTCCAATTCATAACACTCAAGGATTCTCACTCCCCTCAAAGATCTTTATTCACCTAAACTTTCGGTTTTCACTCCTTCCTTGCTATTAGCCCTAATTTTGGAACTCTCATTTAGCCAGCTGCTGGGAGGGTTTTCTGCCCTATCTCAGGATAGGACGTCCATCCAGCCACGCAGAAGCTCAGCACACACCTGACCACGCAGAACAGGTTAATGTTGGCGTTGTACACTGAGAAGTCAATAAACGTTGCCCTGGTTCCTCGGTCCAGCCAGACATTCCTCTTGAGGCTAGCAATCTGGGCAGCCGTCTCCTCTCTTGTTCTCGACAAGTCCAGGTAATAGCCAGCTCCGCTGTAGGTTGCAATTACTCCCCAGTGGCTACTCCCGTTCAAGTCTTTTTCACTTGTGTAGATCCAACTAATAACAAAAACAAATAAACAGGAAAATCAGTAGGACGCTCGTGGCAATTGCAGACACAGCCTGTCTTTGGCGAGAAAAAGTATGCAATACATAAAATTAGCCTTTTCAAGCTGGGTAGGTGCTTCGCACGGTCCTTCAGAAATGGTATTCTTGGGACCAGCAGTTAGCGTAATGACTATGTCGCTGGACTCCCACGTAGTTGACCATGGTTCGCGTCCCAGACCCGGTGGCTTAAACTCACGCCAGGCCCGTGTGTGTGCGTGCCCAAGATCCCAAGAGGAGAATGGAGGAGAAGGGATTGCGGCGTGGCCATCCCCCATGGGGGGTGATTTCTCGCTTTCTATCTCTCTGTCTATCTCTGTCTGTCTGGCAAGCGCACGCGCCCTATAGCAAAAAAAAAATATACCATTTCTTTTTTTTTTTTTTTTTTTAGTTTTGTACCATAGGGTGGTAAGGTGGGTGTACTCACCAGAGAGACAGAAAGCGAAAAATCACTCCCCGGGTGGATGGCCACAATGCAATCCCTTCTCCTCCATTCTCCTCTCAGGATTTTGCACATGCACACATGCACATGTCCCTGGGGTGAGTTTTAAGCCACCGGGTCTGGGACTTGAACTGTGGTCAGCTATGTGGGAATCCAGCAAC